AAAGATATACCGATCCAAGAAATCATCAGGGAAAAGCTATGACAGCACAGTTGTAAGAAAATAAGTAATAAACACAAGGGAATACTGAGTGATAAAATTGTCTAGGAAGAAGACAGTGTTCCCTGTAGGGAGCAAACGTCTCACAAAATAAAGAAGATTATAAGAATGAGGGAAAAAATGATTTATCATCAAACAAAAACAGAAAAAACTTTTCAGCCTTTGGAAGGAAGTCAGATTTTGCTGATTTCACAGATGGAATGAAAAACTCAGACCACAGTTAGCTCACTTCAGTATTTCTGTTTGTCAGAGTTAACATTAGAAAATGACTGAGGAGGCGGAGAGACAGGAGGTCAGGCAGTGTGGGCGTCAAGAAGGATGGAAAGATAAAAGGACTTGCAGCAGACAAAGAGGCAGCGAGTGTCTGATAAGGCTGCCACGTCCTTTAAAATAAAAAAAGAATAGCAAGATTTTAAGATGCTGTTTTCAAAAGACACTTGCATCCCTTATAATAATAATTCAGAAGGCAGCAGATTTAAAAAGAGTGACTTCTAATATTTCTGAAATAGATGAAGTCTTGACCTCAATAATAAGACTTTACCCTTGCCACTTGCCATAGAATTCAGCATAATATCAGGCAAATCACCTAAAATTAAAGTTCTCACAGGTGGTCACAAATTGGATGCTTTTCATTTTCTAGTCTTGACTGGGGAGCCTAGGATCTGGTTTGCAGAAATACTGAGTATTTACAGCTGTGGCTCATTAAAGACTCTGAAGTTATCTAAGCCCAAGTATAGCCAACTTTGGCTGCTCTCCATTGCCTGGAACAGAACCACCTGAGACAGACAGACAGACAGACAGAACTTCTGAGAGGAATGTTTAATCCTCATTACAAAGTTGATAAATTGAACCTCAAATACAGAAGTAACATTTGCCTATGCAATTTTTGCGCTTTTGTGCTCTACTACATCTCAGCTAATAAACTCTCAGAAATGGTACGTCTTCGCCTTTCAAACTACATTTTGGACCAATGTCTGCCTCTAAATTGTCCTCTTTTGGCACTGGAACAATTATTTCTTTCTCCATATTTATTTTCCCAGCCCATGGTTGTTGTTTTTATAAATTCTGCAGCCAGCTCTGGGAAGGTTAGCCCTGACCTACATGAAGAAGGCATAGCCTAACTCTACTCAGAGCTTCTGCACTGCATGCCTCAGAAATTAAAAAACGATCAGATATGTATGTGTGCACAAGGTATAACAATTAAATTTACAGACAAGAAGAAGAAATAAGTGTTTTCAGAGTGGGAATGAGCCATAGGTCAAAAGTAAGGTATAAGTCCACATGTCAAGCAACAAAGAAAAAAAAAATATTGTTCTTTGTGTGAGCACCATTCATTTGTCAGAATAAATGAGGGAGCACTTCTAGGAAAAAAGTGTTTTTCAATGTGACTGTAGTCCTCACAGATAACCATGGGGGCCATTTAAAGTTTCAGTTCTGCTTTGGAGATGGCAAAAGTGATTAATTACTTTCTGAAGGTGTGCCATTTGTTACTTCAGAAGACTTCTAGCATCTATGAGATAAAAAAAACCAGTCCTAGAATAAATCACTAATCATAGAGTAATTTAGGTTGGAAGGCACCTCAAAAGATCGTTCAGTCCAATCTTCTGCTTAAAGCAGGACTAACGTCATACATGGACTGGGTTGCTGATGGCCTTATCCAATCTAGTTTTGGAAACTTCCCAATGACAGAGGTTATATGTTTTCCCTGGGCAACATATTTCAGTGCTTACCTGCTCTGAGCGAGAAGAATTTGTTTTGTGTCCCACTCAAATTTCTCTCATTAGATCACGGGATGATTGCTACTTGTCCTGTCAGTGTGCAGACCTCTAGCATTTTTCTCCCTGCTTGTCTTTGTTTCACACTGAAAAGACCTGTTTCTACTTGGCTCTTCCTTGAAAAAAGCTGTGTTGTACCTTTTGAGCATCTTTCATTCGTCTCTGAAGATGTTTTTCAGTCGTACTGTATTTTTTCAACATAAAGTTGTAGTCCATCCTTGATCTAACATAATGCTGTAGACCAGCCTGTCCATAAAGAAACTTTGGGTTTTCGTTCTTTTTAAGTAATACATGCACTCCTATTTTAGTCTCTTTGTTTAACATTTCAGATCCTGTGTAAGGATTTAAAAGCACTGTATAAATGTGATGTTCTCTTTGGAATGAATTCAAAGGCTGTTGTAAATAAGTTTAAGCTTTTACTCTATCGCAGTCGTGAATTTCATTAATTATCTATTTAAAGGTTTTTTTTCTTCGTTTTTAGATATTTTCTCTTGATTTGTATGTGCTTACTGTCAGTTTTCATTAGCAGTTACCTGTTGGAGGATTTAGCTTAAGTCTTCAGTCATGATTTTGCGTACTACTGGCACAGAATGCAAAAGGTATAATTTCCGATGGACATCTTTTTATACCTTTAAACACTTTCAATCTCAGCCCTTCCATTAAAAGGCTAGTCGCTGTGCAAATGGGTATGTACAGAAAAATAAAGCTGATGATGGTTTTGATGACATGAAAAGCCGGAGTTGAAGACTCAATAGTCGGTGGCGAGCCAGACGACAGAAAATCGCTCACAAGATAAAGAGGCTCCTAAATAACACTACTTAGACAAGTTTGACTTTCTGTTTTGCGGGGGGCAGAAAAGCTCTAAGATAGACAGACTCCTAAATAATGTTCTTTAGTCAGCTCAGCCTTGGGAGCGCAGATGCACCAAGCTACAGAGATAAAGAGGCACCAGGAGGGCAAAAAGACCAAAGAAAAACAACCTGTAAGGACACGGTATACGTGATCTTAGAACTGAGTCTGCGCAGAAACAAAGGTCAACCAGTAGACACTGTGATGAAGGGTACAAGGCTTCATCTGAAGGCCCCCGACAACCACTCAGGGACGCTAACAGACATGTGTGAAAGACATTAACATATGCTAATTTGTTCTTGGAAAAGTCATGAATATGCTAAGCATTTCTCAGAAATAGAATAAATATGTATATTGTGATTTTATTTAACCTGAAATGACAGGGTGTTTGGCGTGCATGTTTGGAGGAGAGATTCCCCGTGTGCCTGGCACCGTAATAAAGGATACCTGCTTAATAGTCTTATGACTATTGAGTCTTCAACTCCAGCTTTTCACGGCATCAGGTGCCTACCCCAGGTACCTAAAAAGTAACTTAAACTAGATTTGTAATTTTTAAACAGCTAAAAAAAATATACACACTTGATGATACTGAAAGAAAAAGGAGTTAAGGCTAGACATTCAACCTCAAATCTAAAATTTCATTAATTCTGCATGCTTGACTTTTCCAACTTTAACCAATCTTAGACAGGGTTTTATTTTTATTTTATGTACTGGATATTTGACCCTTTTAACCTATTTGTGTAATTCAGCTTTTCAACAACCTAAAATTGAGTTGTTTCTGTGAAGTTTCTTTTTGTTTTTTTTAAATAAGGAAGCATTTAGAGAGCAAGCCATGCAGAAAAAAATTCGACAAAATTTTTATGGGCAACCTTAAAGTTGTAAACCTAACTTTCCACGTTGCAAACATTATTATGTCCCACTTCATCTTTTCCTTCTGATTTCCGGGAAAAGCTGTATCCAGTGACACAAGCAATTACATGATGCTCGATTTTCCCGGTGTTGTCTGTTCCACTTCTTGTTTTTCCAAACAGCATTGGTAAATCACAGAATAGCAGATCTTTTCATTACCACAAACATATTTTTCACAAAGATTTTTTCCCCATGTCTATGGGAAACTGTAAAAAAATATGTGCTATAAAGATTTTCTTCTAAAAAAGCTGGAAAGTCAGAATGAAATATCTCATTTCCAGTCTAGGTGAAGATTAGCCTCGTATTTTACTACAGTATTGATTAAATAAACAAGAAAATATCCGAAAGTCAATTTTTTCACTTAACAAAATACCATATAATGTCTAGCTTATTCTCATATAATTTTGTAACCTTTTTTCTATCTGACTTTTAATAACCTCATTTTACATTTGACAGCTCATAGGCCCTAGTTTAGAAGAATCATGTAACACCAGAGTTTTGTGATAACCAGACTTATTATTCAGCACAGTGGCAGATTAAGCAGTGTTTTGCTTTCTTATAATGTCTACTCTACTTATTTTATGTTCTGACAAATTCAATACAGGAACAAAAGGATCCAAATTTGACTAAAATAAAGGCTACAACTTCAGAGCTTACATTTCCCTATCCAAAGAAGCAGGGACAAAATGAAGAAATAAATGCAACACAATCTCACAATGTAATGGTGGTCGAGCATACAGTCAAGCCCTCAATTCAACAGGACATGTAAACATATACTTATCTATAATTTTATGAGCCATCCCAGTGACAAGAGGCTATATTGTACTTCAAGTTAATCTTGTGTTTAAGTATGTGCTGAATCAAAACCATGATGTATACTCGACCACCAGTGTAAAATAGTACTCATAAGTATTCTCCAAAGGCTAGGTAAAAAGGGTCTTTGAGCATCAGTTCCCAATGACCTCTTAATCCAGAAAAGGTGTGAGATTCTAGGGGTAGTTTTGCCCTATACTTTAGGTCTGGCCCGTCACCCAGATGTTCTGGGAAAAGACAGGAGAATACAGTGAAAGCTGATGAATCATCAGCGACCTGAATCAGCTGCAAGTGGCAATGCTCCTCTTAAAGCCTCCTCTGCTCTCCTGCTCTCTCACTCCCCCACACACATACACAGTCACTCACCCCGTAACTCAGACTTCAGCCCCATCCCATAATTTGTAATCTCTCTGTCACAGTTAATATTTGTATTTTTCACAATTCCTAAAATTTTTGTTTCCCCAATTTATCTCAGTGTATTTCGGTGGACTACTTTCAATCTATCAAATCCAATTTACACACACTGATGCTAACTACAAATATACACACATGCACTGAAAGAACAGACCCATGTCATGCCCACACAGGCTAACTCACCCTGGCTGCGTGTCATCGGTCACGCAATGGTATGTAAAAGTTCCAAACATCTGCACTCCCAGGATCCCATACAGGAGGAGAAAGAACAGAAGGAAAATCGAAACGCTCCAGATTTGCTCTCCGGAACGCCTGGCAAAAAGATAAATATGACACTGAATGCACAGGCAATGTGAAGCTTCCTCTGAAAAGCTCCAGAATAGAAAATACGCTCACATAGAGAAAGTAGTATTTCATCCTGCAGAAAATTTGTCCTTAAAATTGATCTCTCCCTCTGTGCAGAGACAGAAAAGGGAGACATGATTTTTTCTAAACCCTTAAGTTAGGGTAATAAAACCAGCTGTAAACTACAAAAGGTGGAACAATAAAAAGCCCACATAAAATGTATAATTTCTAGCTGTTGTAAACTAGTATCTAATGACTTATACAGACAAGATATGATGATGAAATAAAGTTGATACCAAATAAAGACCAAAAAACTTTCACGTTACCATTACACAGCTTTTGCCTTTACATGCTTCATCAAACATACTTATGTGTGTTTACTTGCATGTAAACATCTCTATACATATACCAACACAAGTACACTCGTAACTGTAACAATTAGGGCATGTGCTCATGTGTTTTTATTAACAAATATCGCTCTACTAAGAGTGTTCACCTTGATTATTAAGTGCCCATATTAACACAATTTACTGCCATTGGTTGAAAATTGCTGGGTAATTGTTATCAGCAAAATGCTTTAAGATTTATTTAAATATTTGACAGTTTTGATAATTTTCTAGGGAACCCGATGATTCCTTAAATATGCAAAATAGCAAGAACTTTTTGGCCCAGACTAAAACTCAGGAATACCAACTAAGCATGAAAGGTCATTCTCTGAGCTGCATAATCAGTCTTCAAAGTCAAAACTGAAATTTTCTCTGTTGTTCTTCAGATAACAGCCTTACTTACTTCAAGATATTTGTTATCCTAGTTCTTGGCAGCTCAAAACGAAAATATATCCGGAATGCTCGAATCATAATGAGTGGCCGTGGAATCCGTAACATGCCCCAGGGTGACATCTGGTCAACTATTTCAGCAATTTCAAACACCTACAAACAAAAGAATCAGTTTTTCTTGATGACCCTGTCCAGTTCCTGTATTCATTTAGAGAACTTTTAAAACTATGAACACTACACATGATTTTTATTTTCATTTTCTATCTTGTCTTGGTTTAATTTATGGTTCATTTTAACTATGTTTTTTAGAAGAAAAGTCTCAGTAAATCCTTTAATCCATTTCTAAGTTATCCTAATGAAATTCCAAAAATATACTCTGCCTATGTTCATAATGCTTCTGTCTCAAACAACTCAAGAAGACTGTGCAAGCTTCTGTCAGCTGCCTGCTTCTGTGCTAGTCCTACGCCACAAGTTGCCCACAACTTTGTTAAGAGTGAATAATTTACATTGCCAAATATGAAAATCAGTATCTGTTAATGTTGCACACCACTAGGGTTTTTACTATTATATAAAAGTACACATACACAGATTATGAGTTGAAACATGCTTATAAATTCTCCATTTAATACCAAGTGCATGAGAAATCTGTACATGTTCTTCTCCCAGACTCCATTTACATCACAAATTTCAGCCAAGCCACAGGACAGTGAAACCGTTTCCTTAATACATTGACAGGTTAGGCACTCCATGAAGACTATTTAGCTTAATGATTGGGTGAAAATGTCTTGTTTTAATCCTTGCCTCTCACTCTCTCAGGGTAACTGCTTAACTTAATATTTGCTCAAAATACTAAGAAAATGGAGGGGGAACCTGAAAACGCATAAACTGGGTAATCTACAGTGCTTATCTGTAATGATCAACCTTCACTCTACATGTGTACACAATGTACCACAGTTTCCACTTTGTGTAAAGCAGAAAATTACAATGTGTCTTACATTATTCAGAAGTGGATAAGTTATGCCTAACAGCAATCACTACAGAACTTTTACAATCCTTACAGTATCGCAGGCCCAGTCTCACAGTCTTCAATTTGCTCTTACCCAAAAAACAGGCTACGGTTAAGGACTGATTGGTTTGCAGGACACAATTTGACCTGTACCTTAACACTCTATGCTTTTTTGTAACATGTACAAGTTCCATTCTTTACGAAAATTTATCCATTTTTTTCCAAATATATTTATTATTTTTTCCATTGTGCTTTAACTTGAATTTTGGAAAAGGTTTTGTTAGGTGTGGGCCATATTACATGAAACCTCTCCACTCACTGTATCACTATGCCTACAGCATGGCAAACATCTACCATTGGAATCATTCTCTCTTTAGTTGCCTAAGGTGGTCACCATCGCATCTTACTAGACTCAACGGAAGGAGATGAGCACAACTGTCATACGGAGTAAGAGACACATGACTCTCTGAAGATCCTTCTCTTTCCTTTTGACTATGCAGAGGGTTTATGATAAAAAGCTTCAGATTAATGTATAACTTCTCAGTAAGAAAAATTAAACGAGATAAATTCTACTTCTAATGTGCAATTACGGAGCTATTGAAATCAGCACAGTATTTTAAAAACAATTTGACCCAAGTACAGCTATACTGCCACAACTCGTAATTACTTGGTTGTGCCACATATTTTTCACAATTAAGAAATTATTCATTGAAAAAGGTAAGTGAAATAATTACCTGTAAAACCAGTGACACCCAAAGACAAAAGACCATGAATCCATCAAACACACACCAGCGATCCTTTACATAGGAGCTATCACCCTACAAGAGAGAGAACAGCTAAGAGGCAGATTGTTGTTTTACTGTCAGGATTTACAAATATCATAAACAAAAGTTCTCAGAAGAAGGAAAAGTCTTCTCTGTACCACTTTTAAAATGCCACTTTTGAAAGACTCCTAAAGCCTAGTATCTGAGCCAGAATACGCTGGAAACATAAACACATCTTCTGGGCGAATAAATGGTAGCTTCATTCTTGTGCAGTGCTCCTCATCTTGTGTCAAAAAAGAATGTATAGAGAGATCTATTATTCGCACTTTGATGTAAATCAAAAAACACACAAAAAAAAGGGCATTGAACTCACTTTTCCATTGCATTGTCCATTACAAAACAAGCAAAAAAAATACACATGAAGTGTAAAATGCTAGCAATCTAGTACTGTGCCATTCAAGTACTTCAATATTGTTCAACAGCTTCGATTAAATTGGTATCATTTTACATTACTTTTTTCATAAGTTTTCAATCATTTTTCAAGCTCTAGGAAAGTCTTGCCATTTCCAAAACACTGGACAGTAAACACCATCCCATCACAGCATAAGCTTTCACCTTTTTTTGGACATTTCCTGAGCAAGTCTTCACCACCTCAAAAGGACAATGCATTCTTCAGACTTCATTAACAATAGGTATGGTGAACTTTCCAACACTGACATCATTTGCACTCCACTAATTGTCTAGCACAAGGACTCAGAGCATACTTTTGCACTACTGAATAAAAAAAAAAAACAAACCTCAGGAAAGAAAACTGAGCACTGGATCCTTGAGGACCCATACGCCCTCCTACCTGTTCTCTGGCTCTGCTTTAGGCTTCTTCAAGTAGCTCTCTAAAATAACACCTGAGCATGGTTTTGGTGATAGTCCAATCCAGAGATCACTCATAAAAGGCAGCATGGAGAAGACTGCATCCAAGCTGAGTTTTATCCATACTACAGTATTCTCAACCACTGCTCCAGCTTGCATGCTTAGATATCCTCATGTCTCACAACGACTTGCAACACAGACCCTCCACTTTTTTAGGTAGATGACAGCTGAGAGTTAGACAGTTTCATGCACCACATGAAGCACAGAGGAAGCAAATGCATATACATAGATGCAGCTTGTTGAAAGAGAGACAAGACCAGACCTAAGGAAAGTGGATATCCCAGTTTCATGTTGTATAGCAGTAAAAACATACCCAGAGACATTGCCAGTGTATCTCAGGGCACATAAACATCCCTTTTCAAATGAGGTTTCTCCCAACAGATTAAACATACCCTCCTCTTCCTTACACGTTATTTGGTTCCTTTTCTCCCCTTAGCACTCTTCCAGATACAAACTACAGTGTTTGACATCCACTATTCACAGGCATAACTGGGGAAAAAATTATTGCCAGGTCTCAAGAATCTTGAAGACCTTACCGGACTTTGGCCTGCTATGTGATTCCTGGCTTCATACACACTGTTTCTTCTCTCAGGGGTAGTTATTTTAGTTAACCTGTACTTGTTTTTAAATGTCTCAGCATTTTTATTGATTCTAAAAGCACAGACAAGATGTTTTGTTTTAATCTAATATTTTCAATGACATACACTATCCTAAAAATGATTTATCATTCCTTGCAATAGGTGACAGCAAGATATATTGTGTAAGTAGAGGCAAAATATGTTTTTTTTTTAAAGTTTTATTTCAGTTGCAAAAAATCTTCAGGGCAGAAGTGAACAAAGTAAGGAGATAAGGAAAATACAGTAAGTGATTTTCAAATCAGAAATAAAGGACAGAGAACTTCAACACCATTTTCAAATAGAGGATTTTCTAACATACAACGATGCTCAAATTCTCCTCAGTCCAAGAACTAAGCAGATGAAGACTGCAAATCAGGGGAGCAACAGACCAGGAACTTTTGCACCTGAATTTTAACCTGTCCTTCTTGAAGAAAGTAGACTTAGTTCACCAAGTCAAGCCTGAGCTAATCAGTAACTCTTTGCTCAGGGCTAAACAAACTCAGCTGTTTCAGTGGTCATGCTCAGTAACTGTGAAGCAGATAAATGTTATTTCTCTGCTGAGATCAGCTACCAATACCCTAAATCTCTTACTAGTCTCTCCTCTGACCCTGTTCCCTCTCAGTGAACAGATCTCCAGTGAGATCTGTATCAACATGCAACTTGAGTCCTTCACTTGTGCTTCTGAACAAAGATGCTGATTGGTCTTTCTCTTGCTGAAGAACTCTTTGAAACTTACTTTTTTCCTTTTAAGCACACTTCGTCTAAAGCAAGAAGTTTTCCCTGAGTTGTGCTGTACAGATCTGAGCATGAACTCATGCTGTATTCACCCTCCTCTGAATAACCCGTCAAGCACTCACTAAAAGCCAAATCTTTTTTTAGAAATTGCTTTTTCTCTCCACAATATGTACAGCATGATTGAAGCAGCTCTGCTGTTTTCTCCTTACAAAGGAAGATGTCGTGACCCTTTCCAGTCTTCTCACCAGTCAGGCTGCTCCACCACCTCACTTATCATCACATCAGGCCAGCTTCCCCCGCTACATCCTCCCTGCCAGGGAGGCTTTCAGAGGATCACCCACAGAAACTCAGGGCACCTGAAATACATCTGTAGAAACTGCTCATTTATGGGGAGGTTCTGGCCCCTTCCGCTTCGCATGCAAGGTCATCTTTGGCAGAATCCTTTTCACATTTGTTGGTGGGCTGGCAGTGGACGTGGTGAGGAATCTTTAACACATTGATGCTGTGGACTGGCATATGGGATGTCATTTGCTGTTGGAAGTATTTTTAAAGCAGGATCACATCCTGGGTAATGTGAAGATCAGAATATACCTTTTGGTATGAATCTTGATAGCGCTACTTCCATGAAAAATCTAATTCTGACTAAACACAGGCTAGCACTCACATATTAATAGCAATGAACAGTGAGTTTCATTCACATTTGGAAAAAGCCTTGGGCTGAAATTCCACACTGACAGTCAATCGCAGCCTGTTCTTAGACTTGGAAAGGAACATAGATACATGAAATTTAAATACATCTGGTGACATCTTACCTAAAATAGCTGAAGTATTGCAATGTCTTAATCCCTCACCCTTTTTTCATCTTGTCTGCCGAAATTTGAGAATTATTGATGAGGTTTCTTTTAGCATTTTTTTGTGAATGTAGTATCCCAGACCATTTAAATTATGGTTTATAAGTCTTTGAAACATGATCTAAACATTTGCAAAAGATGAAGAATTAGTACTGTAGACTAGAAGCCTTGTGCTGAGACTAATCTAAACTTCTTCAAGTCCATGACTGCAGGCTTGGGACAGCCTTTGGAAAGCTTTAGCATACTAAACCATGCCCTGACTTCATGCCTCTCCCAGGCAAACTAAGGGGTGCCGCTCAAACTCAGTGGACTAGCTAACAAAGTAACAGCTATTAAACACAAAACATTTTAAGAGACGTAAATCTGAAGTCCAAAGCTGCAATATTGCTTAGCTGTTAGATGGATCAATCTTTTCTTTGTTAATTAGAGGCCTACTCATCATTTTGTAATACCCTTCCTAGTCTCCCCAGACATTTTCTCCTAATATGCTTCCATCTTTTCCCTCCATATTTATTTACAACTGGTCAGCATCTCTGTTAGGCTAGTACAGAACCACGGAAATGGCTTTCTTGGTAAACCACACATGTGGAATGGATCGGAAGTCTGCCTCTCTCTTAGAGATGTTAATCTGAATTAATCTGAAATTTGACATCCTGAAAGAACAGACAAGCTTGACATAAAGGTCTGTAATTAAAATATTCTCTGCCCTGTAAGACCTTAACCTAATTTTCTGTGGCAATGTTGCCATAACTAAGAAAAAATACCTCAAGTTCAGCATAAGATCCTAGTGTTTCTTTACCTCTTCGAAAATAGGACCAACAAATAAATCTCCTCCCTTCCCTCTACGTTCACCTTATTTCATAAGTTTTTGCCTAATTTTAGCCCCATTACATTAACTGAGTACAATGTATTAGCTTATTTGTTCATTTTTTATTTTCACATACAATGCTAATACCCCAATAACAGCACTGAGATGATGCAAGATACACCTTAATTGTAACCAGACAAAATTATTAAAGATAAAACACCTATTGCCAGTGCCTTAAATAGTCATTACACAAGTTCACAGAAAAAAAAGCAATTTTATAAGACCTAACTCACTGGAAATGTGAGACAATACAAAATACAGACAGAACCACAGATAGAAGTAGTAACACCTGAGGGAGTCTTTCCATGAGAGCCATTGCAGTTTAACTTACACCAGAAGGGAAGACTAGCCAGACTGTAATTTTTTCATAACAGTTTATTCCATTATCAACCTTACTGAGAACAAAATACTCTATGAAATCAACATCTGAATCGCATAAAGCAATCTGACAGAAGATTGGTTATGTCTGCTAATTCTGTTAAGCAATTTCAGTCTCTCATGGGTAAGGCAGACAGCTTAGCTAGATGATAGCACAGTCACCTCACATGTCATTTCTGCCCTGCTTATCTCTCAACATCTCAGGAACACCTCAGGGTGAACAGCAAATCCCTGCAAGTGAAAAGCCTCCTCTGCCTCCCTGCTTGCCTCCAGGATTTCCTTTTTCTCTCTCACCCCTGACTACAACCTGTTCTCGGAATCCTTCCCTCCCGCGTCTTTCCAGTCGCCTCTGTGGGAAAGCTAAATAAAAGAAGTGACAGGACATTTGCTCTGAGTAATCAGATTTATCATCATCTGCTCTGGAAAGGAGTCCTGTAGGCTTGGGTCTGTCATTAGGAGAAGCTTAGTCGCCCACTTTTCCTCACAGTCTCTGACAAAGAGGGTAACTGAGAGATGATACAAATGCAAAGAGACCAGCAAGCTCAGTAGCAACCAGCTACTTCGCTATTCTATCATGGTCACTGGATCCTGCATGTGGTGGTGGTAAATAAAGCACATCAACAACTCCAGCAAATTCTGCAGATCACCCTGTGGGCTACTTTGTGTAGCACTACAAAT